TGTGTGTGTGTGTGTGTGTGTGTGTGTGTGTGTGTGTGTGTGTGTGTGTGTGTTTGTGTCTGTGTCAGCTGGTCGGGGCTTCCTGGTTCCTGCTCCCTCCAGTCTCCATACTCACCTGCTTCTCATCATACAATCATGTCCGCAACACGCCGCAGTATAAAGGACCAGTTCAACTTCCCATTCCCTACCAGATCTCCTCTTTGTACAAGTGGTATTAACGCTACAGCCAAGCTCAGCTTGCTGTTTGCTCTGAGTCTTTCTGGACGTTTTGTAATCCTGTTGTGTTTGTACTTCAGATTCATACTCCAGCCATCCTGCCATCCTGCCATCCTGCCACCTGCCACACTCCTGTTTTGTCTTACCAGCTTGGATTTTGTTTGCCTACTCAGCTCTGTGGATTCCTGTTCGTGAATCTATCCTCGCCATTACCCCACCGGACTTTCTTCAGCCCCATGCCCTCAGCATTGTTACCTATAGTTCAATAAAAGACTTGTTTTTGTCACTACCCTGTGTTCTCATTGTGGGTTCAGATCATACCAAAACCTTACAAAGAAGGCATAAAAAAATCATAATATAGTAAGGCATGAATAGATCATAGTATACTAACACATGAAAATTCATAAAAACATCAAAGTATCAAGAGGCATTAAAAATCATAAAAACGTCATAATGTAGTAAGTCATGAAAAGTCATAAAAACTTCAAAGTATAGTGAGGCATTAAAAGTTTTAAAAAGGACAAAGAATAGTGAGACATGAAAACATCATAGTATAGTAAGGCTTAAACTGTAATGAAAACGTTACAGTATAATAAGGCTTAAAAATGTCATAGTATTGTAAGGCATAAAAAGTCAAAATACGACATAGTATAGTAAGGCATAAAAAGTTATGAAAACGTCATAGTATAGTAAGGCATAAAAAGTAAAAAAAACAACATAGTATAGTAAGGCATAAAAAGTCATAAAAACGTCATACTATAGTAAGGCATTAAAAGTTATGAAAACGACATAATATAGTAAGGCATAAAAAGGCATAAAAACGCCATAGTATAGTAAGGCTTAAAAAGGCATGAAAACTTTATAATATAATAAGGCATTACAAGGTCATAATACAGCAAGTCATTAAAAGTCAAAAAAACAACATAGTATAGTAAGGCATAAAAAGGCATAAAAACTGTAAATGAAAACGTTATAGTATAATAAGGCTTAAAAACATCATAGTATAATATAATATAGTATAGTATTATATAATACAGTAATATAATAAGGCATTAAAAGGTCATAATACAGCAAGTCATTAAAAGTCAAAAAAACAACATAGTATAGTAAGGCACAAAAAGGTCATAGTACAGTAAGGCATAAAAAGGTCACAGTATAGTAAGGCATAAAAAGTCATGAAAACGTCATAGTATAGTAAGGCATAAAACATCATGAAAACAATTTAATACAATAAGGCATGAAAAGGTCATAGTATAGTAAGGCATAAAAAGTGATAAAAATGTCATAATACAGCAAGTCATTAAAAATCATAAAAATAGCATAGTATAGTAAGGCATAAAAAGGCATAAAAACAGCATAGTATAGTAAGGCATAAAAATATCATAGTATAATAAGGCATAAAAAGGGATAAAAACGTCATAGTATGGTAAGGCTTAAAAAGGCATAAAAACGTCATGAAAACAATTTAATACAATAAGGTATAAAAAGGTCATAGTACAGTAAGGCATAAAAAGTCATAAAAACGACATAGTATAGTAAGGCATAAAACATCATGAAAACGATTTAATACAATAAGGTATAAAAAGGTCATAGTACAGAATGGCACAAAAAGGCATAAACAGGCATAGTATAATAAGGCATTAAAAGTCATAAAAACATCATAGTATAATGAGGCATTAAAAGTCATAAAAATATCATAGTATAGTAGGGCATAAAAAGTCATGAAAACAATATAGTACAATAAGGCATAAAAACGTCATAGTATAGTAAGGCATAAAAACATTATAGTAAGTCATTAAAAGTCATAAAAAAGACATACTACAGTAAGGCATAAAAAGGTGATAGTGCAGTTAGGGATAAGAAGGCATAAAAATGTCAGTATAGTAAGTTATTAAAAGTCATAAAAAACGACATAGTATAGTAAGGTATAAAAAGTCATGAAAATGATATAGTACAATAAGGCATAAAAAGGTCATAGTACAGTAATGCATAAAAAGGTCATAGTATAGTAAGGCATAAAAAGGCATATAAACGTCATTGTATAGTAAGTCATTAAAAGTCATAAAAACGACATAGTATTATAAGGCATAAAAATATCATATTATAGTAAGTCATTAAAAGTCATAAAAAGAACATAGTACAGTAAGGCATAAAAAGTCATGAAAATGATATAGTAAAATAAGGCCCAAAAAGGTCATAGTACAGTTAGGCATAAAAAGGTCATAGTATAGTAAGGCATTAAAGTCATAAAAACGACATAGTACAGTAAGGCATAAAAAGTCATGAAAACGATATAGTACAAAAAGGCATAAAAACAGAGTATAGTAAGGCATAAAAATATCAAAGTATAGCAAGTCATTAAAAGTCATAAAAACCACATAGTCCAAAAACGCATAAAAACGTCATAGGATGGTTAGGCATAAAAACGTCTTTGTATAGTAAGTCATTACAAGTCATAAAAACGACATAGTATAGTTAGGCATAAAAAGTCATGAAAATTATATATTACAGTAAGGCACAAAAAGGCATAAAAATGTAACAGGATAGTAAGGAATTAAAAGTCATGAAAATGATATAGTACTATAAGGCATAAAGAGGTCATAATACAGTAAGGCATAAAAACGTCATAGTATAGTGAGTCATTAAAAGTCATAAAAACGACATAGTATGGTAAGGCTTAAAAAGTCATGTCAATGTGTTTTAGGTTAAATCTGGTTGTTGTGGACAATATAAGTTTTGCTTTCAGTGTCAGAGTGGACTTGTGCATGGACTTCAACTGTTTATATGCATTATGGAAATTTGCACACGGTGTTGTCCCGTACACACTTTCTTCTGTCCAACTTGTTCCCAGCCATTGGCTCACAGTCAATCTGCCTTACTATAAAGACAGGTGGAGCTTGCGCGGTGCGCTTTCTCCCCTGAACGTGACAGTCGCGACCTGATCCAGACAGTGTGTGGTCACTGTTCTCCTTAACACACAACGACAGGACTGTGCTGTCCTCTCTTTGAGAGGAGATAAAGTGTCTGTAATGCGCCGAGTTGTGGAAACAACTAGTGTAATCCTTCCTCATGTGACTCATAGTAATAATCACTTCATAATGAAGAAGCACGAGAGACAAAGGCAGAGTGAGAGCTGGCCGATCAGTCAGTCCACAACACCTCAACATCCTCCGGTAAGTGTCACGGTAGACTTGTACTTGGAGAAGATTGTTTTCATTATTTAATTTCATTATTTCACTCATTATATTGGAAGATAATAAATGCCCAATTGCTTGTGATGTCTTGAAATGTAGTTATTACTATTTGCTATGTACTATTTTTGTGGCATTTTCCCCAAACTTCTGTGAACTGCTCCTTGGTCGGTGCCCCCACCCACCCCCACCCCCTGTGAACATGGGTCGCAGTCTGTTATTAATAGGCCTGAAGTTCAGCGAAAAGCATTTGTTTGTCAAGCTGTCAATTTGTTTTAGAGACAAAACCCAAACGGCAACAATGGACACAGGTAATTGTAGGGTTCAGAAAATTGCCTGACACAGTTTTGACCTTCATTCATTCACTGACATCAAATATTCAAATGCAAATTAGCTGGTGAATCACAGCCGGGGAGAGCTGTCCTATAAATACGGACACAAACCATCCTGTCCTCCTCGCAGGGCCCGACAGAGGTGATCCTGCTTGAGCGGGAGAGAAGGAGAGAAGACCAGTTTCTTTTTGGGGAGAAGAGAGTGAAATCGTATGATGTCTGTTGTGGGCGCGCAGCCTTTCATCAAACCAATGCAGTCAGTACCGTCAGTATCGCCTGGTATCCAACGGAGACACACGCTTCCCGCGAGCGAAGTCCGACCGCTCAACACGCAAGATGCAATAAGCGTCTTTGAAATCGAGCGAGAAGGTAAGTGATCAATCTCATCAGTCAGGGATTGGAGGAGAAAATCCGCTGATTCTGCTGAGTGAACCGATTTATCACAGAGACGGATGGCTTTGTCTAAAACTATTCCTCATCTGGTTTTGTATTTAATTTAGTCACTTGAGAGATTTTCTTTTATTTACCTTTTAAAGTCACCGTGGTAAACTTCTATTCTACGATTAGTAAACTGTTTATCCAGCGGTATGCGCCACTTCAGGTGTGCGTAAAGTTGTGCCATACCATTATTGCGCACGGGCCAACCTCTCTCTCTCTCACTCTCTCTCTCTCAGCATTTATCTCAGTATCAGGTGATTGTCCCCTCCACCTGGATGAGGTGCGTCACTTCCTCACGCTGTGTCCGGAGCTGTCCATGGGCTGGTTCGAAGAGGGCCGGCTGGTTGCCTTCATCATCGGCTCTCTCTGGGACCAGGACAGACTCACTACAGTAAGACATCCTGCATGTCTCCACCTTTGCCATTTAAACCCTAAGAAACAAATGCAGAGGCATGAACATTAATTATGATTTCTAACCACTGTGCTCCAGGAGGCACTGACTCTCCACAAGCCCTGCGGCTCCACCGTCCACATCCACGTCCTCGCCGTCCACCGCACCTTCAGGCAGCAGGGCAAAGGTCCCATCCTGATGTGGCGTTACCTGCAGTACCTCCGCTGTCTGCCCAACGTGCGCCGGGCGGTGCTGATGTGCGAAGACTTCCTCGTTCCCTTCTACCGCAAGTCAGGCTTCAAGGTGCTGGGGCGCTGCGCCATCACCGTGGCCAACCTCACCTTCACAGAGATGTGGTACCCCATCAGCGGCCACGCGTACATGCGCCGCAACAGCGAAGCCATCCGTTTCCCTCAGCATCCCCTGACTCTGCCACTTACAAAGACTGACGAACATGTTGATGTATGACATGCTGGTTTCACGAGGTAGCCGCACAGGTTGACTTTTATTTAAAACCAGTGTTGTACTCTGTAGGATGTGTCAGAGTTTCTCTCAGTTCTCAGTGGCTGCTTATTCTTATTTGTTGGACTTTGTTTTCCTCTAGTCTCAAACTGAAGCTCATCTTGTGTGAAATTCTCTTAATGTGTACAATAAATCCAAGAATGTACTATACTGTCATGTGATGTATTATATGTAAGAATCTTCACTTTGTTAGACTGTGTGTATCACTCACCTGTGGGAGGACTAGAGTAGTGTGTTGAACTATAACTCTAAGTGGAGTTACATTGATGATGTGTTGCATTTGTGGTAGACATATGGATTCGTGGCTGTACAGTAAGCTGTCTCCTGCTTAGCACCTTTCTGGGCTTTCCATAACTATGGACTGACGTCAGCGAGCAGGCTTTAGCTCGTCCAGCTCTATTAGGGGGCTTTAGCTATTGTAAACATCAGAGGATTTAGAAGAGGATCCACGCATCAGTTAGACCGCACGTCCAATAACCTTACATGTATGCTGCAGGTTTTTGGTTAGACGATACAGCTGTGGCAGTTTGTTAAGGCAGACTTTGTATGGTGATTTTTTTTTTTCTAAGTTTGTGTCTGTTACAGTATCACAATTTAAATAAAATGTTTTATACTGTTTTTTAAAATGAAAAAGTATTTGATCTGTCCTCTCTGAGATAATTCACTTTTTTTCTTTTACCAAAATATAATATGATGCAAAATTACATTTCTTCCATATCCACACTGACTGACATGCTTCTCTTGAACACCTTTATAATGAGACACACCACGCCTCTCTGTGTCATCTTTATGCTGGTGTTTTCAGATGCCTCTGAACTGGATACACAGAGTTGGTGGGAAGCTTCATGCTCTTGACTGGAGCTTTAATCCATGACATAGTCACCGACTCATGTCTAATCCACTAACGTGCCAGGGTGAGCAGCTCCCGCTCCTCTGAAGGACAAACTTGGCCCTCCCAAGTGGTCACCTCAAAAATGACCCACAACTCCAATTAGCACAGAGCGAGCAGGGAGTGGGTGCTTGAAGTCTGATGCCAGTATTTTTTTAGATGTCATACTGTGCCAAAGTATTAATTATTTAAGGCATACATAGAAAATAATAATAAGAATATTTCAGTTTTCTGTCGCTGAAGTCAGAGACAAACTGATCTTTTAACTCTATCAAACAGTGTTTTATATTCACAGTAAAATAGACTAGTAGCACCAGGTTAGTGTTTCTTCTTTCTTTCCATGATTCGCCATATTTACACATTGGACACGGCCTCATGGAGAAGCAATACCCCGACAGAGTCTAGTCACACAGACAAGGATCACAAGGCAGGATACCGGTTATAAGTATTTTGGCACTGATGGCAAATTGACACCATGGGAATGTGCAGAAAAGAGCAATCGTCAGCTGTGTTGTCTTCTCAGAAATCTAAAGTATTTCAGGTTGAGACTCCCTTTTCTAAATCTCACTGGTCAAGTGTACTTTGGGGAGGACAACTGTGATAAAGAGTTTTCACATTTTCAGCCACATTTTCTCCTGCAGACGGAAAGTGTCTGCAGGATGAAGATGGCTCGCAGCATCTTCGGTTTCAAGCTGATGCGGCCAGCTGGCATCTTTGCACAGTTGGCTGTCGGTGAAGTCTGTGATTCAGTTTATTTCCTCTGGCACAGGGTTCCAGACCAGACCTGGAGAGTAAAACAAACTGATGAGGAACTTTTGATAAACGAATTTTAGGATATTAAGGAGTCCATCGGTGCTGTGTCTTGTGATGGTTATTATAAGTATCATACTATCTGTTTATGTGCTTTTATGCTTTTATTTAAAATCTATGAAATGTGGTCACTGCTCCTGATATTGTCGTTTGAAGAGGGAAAACACAGGACAGTGCTCACTGAAAAACAGCACTTTAAATACCAGTTGATATGGTATTGGCATGATTGCAGGGCAGGCATACAGGAGGCTTCGTCATCAACATTAACAGAGGGAGTGAATAAGAGAGAAAATGTGCCAATGCTCATTGTCAAGGTTTAAACCAATCAGCACCGCAGCCTCGTTTAATAACAATAATAATCCAGCAAAACAAAAAGGAGCTGCCAATTATCACATACATCATTCAGGCGACGGTGCAGTCAGTGCAAATGAGCCATTTATGTTTCCACGTCTAGGCCCTACTGTATGTTTATAATGCTATTTGTAATGCTGTCGGGTTATTTTGCAGGCTTTTACCAGGAAAACAAGAAACAATAAACATCCCATAATCCACAATTTGATTCCAGACCGAAGGTTGTACTCTTTGCTGTCATAATGTTTACATCAAAAAAAAAAAACTGTATAAATATCCAGCCAACAGTACACACTGGCTGTTTTGTCAGTACAGCATCATGCTATCTAACTACTTCAAGTGAGATGACACAACCATCAGGGAACATCCTTCACCCCCCCCCACCCCCTAGACACAGAGTGGGGCCACTTCAGCCTCCAGACAGGCTCATGTGCAGTAATCCCGCAAAGTCCTTTCAGTCACCGGGTAATCTGGCAGGCAGACATCCCAGCGGCGGAGAGGCCGCATATTCCCACATCAACGCTGTTTACTGTAACCTCCACTGCGAGGTCAGATGGGGTCTTTCAGACAATTCCCAAAACCAATACCACCTTAAGATTTCTCAGGGCTTTTTTTTTCTTTTGTTTTTAGACACATGCCTCATCCATGTAGACCTGTGAGTTTGACCTGGTTGACCTTAACACACTACGTGCTGGTATGTGAGTCATATTTAATCTGTATCCTTAATCCATCATTTCCAAGCATATGACTCGCCGGGGGTTTACGAGCATTGTGCATCCATTTTGCCATGAGACTAAGTATTACATGCAGCGGATGATTCACTGTCCAGCGGATGATTCCAGGAAGTTGTTTCTGGAAATGGGAATTAACAGCACGCCTCATGAACTGTCTATACCCCATATTATTACTGATTAATTAGCACTACACACAGAATAAAGCTGGGGCTGTTAGGAATGTCATTACTTTTGCAAGTATTTCATCATAAACCAGAATCCTGGACAAATTAAAGTATTGACCTGAATGAATATTGGCACTAATTGAAAAGTTGAGGGATTAACAGAGTTAATATAATTCATCTGGAAGAATTAATGTGAAGTAAATTGTGTGTACAAAATTTAATGGGAATCCTTCCCACAATTATTGAGTTAATTCAAAATTGAACCTGAATGTGGCGCTAAATGTGAGCAAGGTAATTAGGATTCTTCCTCTGGGCCCTTACGCCTGTAAAAACTTTAAAGGTTAATGTATAATAAGTTTTAAATAACAGAACAGAAAAATGAAAGTTAAGTTTGTGGAGTTTAATAAGCACTTGTGAAGGATTCAGTTAGAGAATGCTGAATAAACAATATCCCATAAAAAATAAACATTACCCTCATTTTTACAGCTGACCCACAAATAGCCCCAAAACAAGAAGTAGATCCACATGTACAGTCCCACCAAAAAATTAAGGTTTTTTCTTCCCCCCATTGTTTTCACAATGTATTAGTGTACGAACATATCCACTTTTCATTTATTCCTTTACGTGTATCAATTAGCGTACACCCTCCAGCACCAGTGGCTAAAGGGAAAATGCGCGGCACACCTTAAACCACACATCTAAAGATTGTTGTAAGAGCTGAACCGATAGTTTGAGTACGATGGAGCATTTGTGGCATCGGTGGAGGCCACAGGAAGCAGCAGGAGCCCTGTGCTGATGTCTCTCTTACACCGATCCATTGCCTGCTTGTATGTTATCTTCTCTTTGGTGATGGGGTCTACCAGCTCTTTTGTGTGGGAAGCCTCGTCTTGCAGATGACTGAGTGTTGCGCTGTCAATTAGTTTGGCGGCGAGAGCTTCTTCGACAGTGAGGCGACCTGCTTTAGCGGGATTCACCAACCCGCCGGTCAGGTACTGCGCCTCCATGTACCTTCTGGCATTTTCTCTGGGGATATATCCTTTCTGCGCTGCCAGACCTACTGCGAGACGGTCTTTGGTCACAGGATCCTCGACTCCAGTGAAGGCTTTCTGGGCATTCAGGAGTTTATACATGTGAGCTGTATCAATGAGACCATATTCAGCTGCCTTATGGACAGAAAATTTGTCCTTTTTGGCGATATCAACAATTCCACCGGAGGCTGCCTGTGCCTCAAGCAACCTAAAAGCTGTATCGGTATCAATGAGTTTGCGGGTGAGAGCACTTCTGACGGACATGCGGCTTTCAGTGGTGTTGTCGTAAATACCAGAGATTGGGAAATGCTCATCGCCTGAAGCATTGAGGCTGTTTGAACTGCCGCTGAGGTGAGTGTTGAGGTTGGTGTAGGAGGACCTCAGAGAGGTTGACATGGAGTTCAAGGGAGAGGTTGGGATGGGTTTGGTGGGTGATCTTGGGGTTGTTAATGGAGGAACGTAGGGCTTTCTGGTTTCTCCTGCGACAAGGAGGGCAAACTCAGAAATGGGCATTTTCCCTTCCTTGTAGCGGGTCACGTCGTACTGAGTCAAGCGACCATCTCTAAGAGCGTCCTTGACAGAGTACTGCTTCCCGCTCTTGCGATCCTGCAGAATTGTTATATCCCCATCTGGACCAGTTGAACTGATCTCCTCCCAGTCACACTCCAACTCTGACAGGTGGATATACTGGTTGCGAGCAATTAGCCCCTGCACATAGGCCTCATAGGGAGACATGTCTTTACCGGTTTCTGGATCCAGGATGGTGATCTTCGTGGAAAGATTTGTCTCTCTGGTGTGAGTTTCATTCTGGTCCTCTTTCTTGATGTTGCTCTGCAGCTCAATGATGACTATCTCTTTCTGTTGTATTTGGTCTTTTTCATTCAGGATCGCTTTCTCCAGCCTTTGAATTTCAGTGGATGTCTTGAGACTCCTTTGCCGTGCCATCTGGTTTCTCTCACTCATTATCTTGGACTGCTGCTGGAAGGTAATGCTGATGTTCTGTCTTTGCGACTCTAGCATTTTGAGCTGGCTGAGGAGATCCTCTTTCTCTCTCTGCAGAAGATCTCTGCTACTGATGAGTGTATTCTCCTCATGAGAGGTCACAGACTTTGATGTCTGCAGATGGGAAATTTTGATGCTGATGTTCTGAATCCCATCTTCCTGGTTCCGCCTGTGATTTCTCTCCTGTGTTACCAGCTCCCTTAGATGTTCCCTTTCAGCCTCCACTGCTGGGTCTTTCTCTACACGAACAACTTCTCTGTAAACAACCTTCTCGATAGACTTTTCCTTTTGCAGAATCTCCAGTTTGACCCTCAGGTTACGGATTTCTCTCTCTAGACGATTGATATTGTCACCTTCGGTCTCCATGTCAACACGAATACCATCAGTTAGTCTCTCCAGCTTTGGATCCCTCTCCACTTTCAGGACCTCCTCGATGACGATCCTTTCCTCAACAGGCGTTGGATTGTTTTCCAGTTCATAAATGCGAGATCTGACCTGCCTGAGCTCTGATTCTATTTGAATCTTCCTCTGACGATCATCCATCTGAGCCAGGGTATTCTCTCTCTCTACAACCAGGGATCTAAGATGTCTGACTTCTAACTCAAGCTTCCTACGGGCTTTAATTTCTTCATCCAGGGTCCTGTTCAATTTCTCATGCTCCAGGATCTGCTTAGGATCCTTCTGAAGACGTACCACGTCCTGCATTATGATCTTCTCCTCTGGCTTTTGTCTTTCAAGCGTAATGAATTTGTTCTGGAGGTCAAAGAGAAACTCCTCCACACTGCGACGCTGCTGAATCTCTTCTCTTACGTTCCTCCGAAGTCTGTCAGCCTCTTTCTCCAGAAGAGGATCGTTCTCATATTTGATGACCTCTTTATTCACTAGCCTTGTCTCCACTTTGGATTTCTCAACTTTCAGCTCATCTCTCTCTATACGTAGGCGGGTTAGCAGCTCCAGGATGGTGTCGTAGTTGACTTGCAGTCTGGAGACTTGGTTCTTCAGCCTTTGCAATTCCCTGACGACCTCCGGGCTTTTCTCTTCCTTGATCATCTCCTTCGTCACCTCCTTGTACTCCACTTTGGGTTTCTGAAGGCGCAGAGTAGTTAAACTGGTTGTCACCGTGCTGATGTCTTTTTCCAGGTCTGTACGGTGTCGGACAGAATCCTGCAGCTCCTTCTTAAGACGTAAAAGCTCTAATTCCGTCTCAGGATCAATTCTGTAGATCTCATTGACGATTTCCTGGACCTCGACTTTCTGCCTGAGCTTATCCACTTCACTATAACGCAGCTGAAGGGTGGTCAAGTCCTTCATCAGGATAGCGTTCTCATCTTTCTCCTCTTCCAAGGCGATTCGTAGTTTCTTGGACTCTTCAAGCAATTCTGGGTCTTGCTGGACTTGCTTCACCACCTTGGTGACTACCTTGGGTTGGATGGTGGGAATGACCCTTTCCAGTGTGTTTATCTGGCTCCTTGTGCTGAAAATGTTATCATTGAGGGACTTGCACCGGGACTCTTCCTCCGCAATGTCACCCTGGAACGTGAAAACAGCCTTCAGCATCTCTGGATCCTTTTGAAGTCTCACCACTTCCTTCTTAACAACCCTCTGCTTGATTTTAGGTTGCTGCTGAGCCAGGACCGTGAGCTCAGTTTTCACATGGACTGTCTCAGTATCTCTCGTTTGGAGCTCCAGTCTTATCCTCTGCATCTCATCTCTAATCTTGGCTGCCTCTTTATCAAGCTGCGGGTCTCTCTCGTATTCAGTCAGTACCTTGGTCACCAGTCTAGGTTCGATTCTGATCAGCTGTGTTTCCAGTTTGAGAACTTTCTCATTCATGATTTCTATCTCTGAGTTGGTTCTTGACCTCTTCAGTGATTCCTCCTGGATGCGCTTTTTCAGGGACTGCAATTCCACCTCCACCTTGGGGTCACGGTAGTACTGCACCACCTCCTTCTCCTCCAACCTCTCCACTCCTCTCCTGCCCCTCAGAGAGACAAACCTCATGCGGTATGTTTCCAGGTCTTTCTCAGCATGTAAGCGTCTAGCAACCTCCTCACTTAATTCCTTTTTCAGGATATCGCTTTCCTCCACGTCCTTCCTCTGGCTCTGTAGCTGCAGCTGCTGATTGACAACTACCTGACTGACTTTCTCTTCATTCTGTACATGAATAAAACGACAAAGGAAAGAGGTAACTTCAGAACGACTGACAGTGATGATTTTTGAGCAGAACATCGGGTATTATTCTACTCTAACATGACTGCTGTTGATATTATTTTGATCTAATCAATATCATACCCTGGCCATTATATTCTTCGCCGTCCCCAACTGGCTGAGTAGCTGGTTGTTCTCTGCAGACACCTCAGAGAAAAGGTTCAGTAGATTTTTCTCCTTTAGTAGAAGCAGAAGGCAAAATGAGTTTAAAAGCTGAAATTTAAAGAGTTAAAATGCGGAGAATCATCTACCCAACAAATATCTTTAGGCCGTACCTTTCTCTGTACATCCTGAGCCATAGTTGAAGTTTGACGTCGCTTTAGAACTGGTTCCTCCTCCTCGTCATCGTCGTCATCGTCGTCGTCATCCTTCAGAGTGCTGCGGTAAGTTTTTGACTTAACCTCATACTCCTGAAAGGAAATATATTTAAACGTTGATGGATTAGGTATTTGGAGGTACATACCTAATGTAGTGTAAATGGTATGATATGAGAATAATGTCATTGTCTGAACTCACATTTAAGACACTCTGCAGTTCACGGGAAAGATCCTTGACTCGGTCTAAATCACCTGATTTCTTCCTGATGTCCTCAATCACTTTCTAAACATGGGACATGATTAAATAACCACAGCTGATAAGACAAAGCAAAGCATTTTTTTATATCATTGTTGACAAACACTAAACACTTCCACTCACCTTCTGAGAGTTCTGCTTAGCTGTTATCTGCGCCACACTATCAGTGGGTTTGATCTTGTTATTGGGCAAATTGACCAAGAAGAAATCCAGTGACTGAACAGCATTCTGGAAATCTTGGTTTTTATTGTTTGCTTCCTTTATGAGAGCGGACCTAAAGCAAAATATAAAACAAATACTCAAAACAATACAAATACAAGCAAAATACATTTGACAGGACATCAGAGGAATTACGAAAACATATATATTTGACAATAACGCCTGAATCTGTTTTCCTCTCACCTCTCCTGGAGCTGATTATTGACATTTGTGAAACGGTTCTTCAGATGTTTCACCTCGTTCTCTTGGCGGCGGATGTCAGGACAGTATTCATTAAAACCCTTCTGCAGGGAGCTGCACGCCTGCTCAGTCAGGTCCAAGTCTCTGCCTAACTGATTCAACGCATCTTTCTTTGAGGCGACATCCTTACGCATCACCTGTTGGGTTTTTTGGCGGCAAAAAAAAAAAGAAGAAAGTACACATTTAAAGAAAGAAAAACACATTGGGTTTCTTTGGGCGTTTAATTTCTAGCATCACATGAACCAATGACTTAAATGTGTTTTTGGTTGCACCTGCAGCTGCTGGTTGCGGCTCTGGAGGCCATTAGGTTGATGAAGAATGGTGCCATCTTTGGCCAGCTGGTCCTCAAACCCGGAAACAACACCTTCCACATTGTGCATTTGTTTTTCCAGGAACATGGAAGCTGTAGCTCTGGTGAAAGGAGAGAGGCAATGAAAAATACGCAAATGACATTTGTGGGAAAATGTGAAATTTCACTTTGAATGCTTTTATGTTTAAAGAATATATAATTTCATTCTTATCGTCTTACTTTTTATTATAAACATCAATGATGGTGTTGATGTCGTCGATTTTATTATTGGCAGCGCTGAGTTTGACAGGCAGGGTCGAGGCGGTGGGTCCCAGGGGTTTCTTGGCCAGAATCGGCTCCATCTCTTTCTGAAGTCCAAACTTCTCAGACTCCAGCTTCTTCACCGCCAAAGCAGATTTCTGGAGAGCAAATCATACGGTTCGAACTGATCACAACGACCTAGATGCATCTGAACCTGTTCAGGACTAATACAGGTAACGTAACTGCAGGCAATATTATCAAAGCTTAATGTTCATGTTCACCTCCTGCTCTTGCAGCCTTTTCGCCAGGTCTTGCGTGGGGCTGCGGTTGTCTAGCGGGGCCCTCAGCCGACTCAGGATTTCTTTTTCAATCTGCTCCAGGGCTTTGTTGGTCTTGTCTAGTTCATTAGCTATCTCTGCAGCTCTGGGATCTTCCGGGGCACTGTGTGCAGCGGCTGAGGAGGAGCGAAAAACAACAACATTTCTACAATGAGAAGTTAGATAAGCCCAGACTTTTTCATGATCTTTTGACCAGGAAAAAGAATAAATAAATAAATAAAAAAGTGTGTGTTTTCTTCTCACCTGCCCTCTGAGGGCGGATCACCTCCACATTTTGGCTCTTCAAGGACGACATCAGTGCAGATCTGCGGTTCTTGAGGTCAGTCAGTGCTCTGTCCAGGCTGAGCACACACAGACAACGTGTTTCATTAAAATCCATCACAGGTGAATCATCAGTCAGTTAGTCTCTGCTGTAATCACATAGAAAAAACAAAGGAAGGAAAACATAGTGTGTTTGCACTGTGTACCTGTTTACTTTCTCCAAGGCCTCAGCATCAGGCGGTGGGACCATGAAACACGCCCCAGGGAGGGTTACGATCCTCCCACCGCTGTTCTGAAGCTTCCAGTCCTTGTTATCAGAGTTGGACTTTAGGGTGAGCGTCTCACCACGTCTCACTGTGCCCTGAAACACACACCAACAACACGATCAAATAAAAGATGATAACGACAAGAATGTTTTTTTGCAAATTTAAAACACTTCTGATCTTCTCTCCTACCTCCTCATCAGCCCAGTCACACAGAGACACTGCAGTGGTGAGTCTGGTGGGATTCGTTCGTCGCAGCTTCAGAGGGACAACGTTGCTGCTGAGCTCCCTGAGGGCGGCCAGGCGCTGCTCGTTCCTCTTCACGGCTGGTTCATCGCCCTGAAGGTTTTATTGAATTAGATCAAACGTTACACCAGCAGACAAGGTTATTAAGCATTTCTCCGTTATCTAACCAGGTGCAGGTGGAAGTGATTTTGCTGGTCATAAAGAGAGCTCCAGAGGTTTGAAGAAGAAGCTAAACATTTCACATGTTTTGGAAATATACAATGAGTCCACACGCCTAAAACTATATGAAAAAGTTAGCTTTAGATCTCCTCTGACACAGTGAGGCAATCCTTCCAGACTTTCTACAGTTGCACCGAAACCTTGACATCAGAAAACACTGTTAGTACCTCCAGTTCCAACAGGACTTCAGGGTTGCTCTTGTTGGCCAGAGACCTCGGGTCCAGAGTGGAGTTGAGTCTCTCCAGGGAGTCAGACAGCGTCTCTGCATCCAGCTGGAACTGCAGCGAAACAAACGGTCACTTCTTAACAAACTGCACTGGTGAACCGGAAACCATCTGATTCAACAGAAGAGCATCATCACAGTCAGCCAGAGAGCTCCTGTACCTTCCTGTAGTCTTCAATGTTGTCCAGGTGTCTCTCCTGGGCTAGACACAGGTTGAGAAAGGCTTGCCACTCAGCCTGCACGGCATCTACGTGAGTCTGATGAGAACAAACGACTCCGTTTAATCTCACTTTATTTGATGCAAATGATGACTGATCATCGTTACCATACAGATACGCTCCTCATGTCAGATGTACCTTTACTGTTGGGGTGCCAGGGTGATCCATTTCAATCAGACGATCTCCCTCCACCTGCAGCTGGTTGACTTCACGCTCATGTGCTATCAGTCCGTTATTTTTGAATTTCTGTAAATAAACACAAAGTGAGATGCAGAAGACATGACACAGTGTTTTCAGTGTTCAAATCAAATCCTCCCAGTAGCTTAACAGTTACTATGTACTGCACTGGTCACACCAGTTGGGTCCCTAGCTGGTGTAACTGGTGGATTATGCTGGAAGGCGAGCAGACAAACAAAGTTTTATCACTCTTCTGTCCGAAGTCTCTCCACCCATGGAAAACCCATCAATCAATCTAGAAATTTACCAATACTGACGCCACTGTGGCCCCTCACCTCGTACTCCATGCGGACACCTGGGGGGTCGACCATGCAATCGCTCCAGTCTCTCTGGAGGATCCTCTCCTGCTGGCCCGACAGGTAGACCAGCTCCTTGCTGCAGCTCTGCAGGTACTCGTACAGAGAGGCCAGGTTGCTGCGCCTGTGCTGGGAGCTCTCCTGCAAAACACACAAGTTGCATGTAACATATACACACCATGCGAACACGTGTAAGTTACACACATCCCTCCGAACTTCATGGTGAAGTGAAAAAAAAAACAACTCACGAAAAGTTTGGCATATTTCTCTTTGAGGGCGACGTACTGCTCCTATGAACAAAGGAGATGAAGAGACATGAAGATGTTTCATCCTGCGTGTCGTTCTGCAGAGTGCGCGCATGTGTCGGTGTGTGCCGGTGTTACCTGGGAGGTGGTGGTGCTGGGCTGCAGCTGGGAGCTGTAGGCCTCGATCTCCTGGTGCAGGATGTTGTGTTCTGCAATCTGCTTCTCCACATCGAACAGCTTGGGGCCATATGTCTCCGCCTTCAACTGCCTCTGTAAAACACAACGTTCAGAAGAAGATGCTTAGCTACTGAAACCGAAGAGTTTACAGTTTCTGTGCTTGATGCTGCATCAACTGACCAGTTTTTCATCCAGCAGAGGACCCCAGCCGATCTTCTGCGCCAGCTCCAGGTCTTGCACCTGGTCATACAGTTCCCTGTAGGCGGCGCAGTCCCTCCCCCAGCGGTCATGCAGGTTTCTCACACTGAAAACAGTAGAATCAGACACACATGTATTACAGTAGGTCATGAGTAGACGGGCGGAGAACAGTAAAAGGGAATGTGGAAGTGAAGCTGTTTCGGTGGAATGTGATGCATCTAGTTTCAGGTGTGTCAGTTGGCATGTGTCCTCGTGTTTATGTAAGTTTTTAATATGTCTGTGATGAACTCACTCCTTCTCTATCTCGGTGGCCTGCGGGTGCTGCAGCCTCTTGGATTTGTCCACGTCCATGAACAGATCCTTCAGCAGCCCCTCGGCCTCCGCCAGGTTGTCCGCGTTCTCCTTCTGGTGGATCAGCTGCTGATTCTTCCCCTCGCGCTCCGAGTCCTGCGCAGGAAGGAAACAACGTCGTCGTCAGATGAAAACCTCTCACCTTGAACAGACATGTGACTCTGAGCTTATATAGCTGCGGTGAGCGTGTGGACTTCTTACCAAAGCCAGCAGCTCCTCTGAGTGCAGGATGTTCTTCTCCACCTGGTCTGCGTTCTTCTGCATGCGAGAGATCAGCAGAGCCAGGTCGGTGGCCTGAGTCCTGGGTGGAAACACCAGAGAGAGAGAGAGAGAGAGACGACGGTCAAACATTCACCTCTGCACAGACACTTGAGTTGGTTTTTTGTTTGTTTTGCATGATTTGAAGATATTACAAAACTAATATCTATAAAAAGGGTTGGAAATAATTATGTTAAATCAGATATTTTACTGTCATTGAAGTCGCTTGCTAATGGATTTTTATGCTCAACTACCTTTAGAGAAGAGTAGCCTGCAGTTATTCTATTTCAGCATCTTTTACACTTTCTGAGACATAGGATTTGACAGCGCCTGGTTTTTACAGTGCAGATGCATTGAAATCTTTTAGTTCAGATGTTCACATGTGGAACGACAGGACGCTGAAGGTAAAGTGTCAGACGTGAACATAAAACCCGGTAAAAGAAATCCTCACTGGCATGTCACTGGTGAAAACTGTCTGCAGACCTGTTTGTGCTCTCTGAGTGTTTGTTCTGTCAGACACTGTGATATGAAAGCCAAGTATTTATCCTGACACACCCAGATCAAGACCCAGGGGACACACTGTACAGGGGGGGGTCCCTCCCATTAGCAGTCAAGAATGTAGCCCTGTGTGTGACACAGACATTCCTGCTGAGATGAATGTGTCACTCTGTGTCACTTATCAAAAGAATGGGGCCATTAATCTCCGGTGGGTTATTACAGCAGTAGTCAGACATTAAGGCTCATGCAGCAGGTGGAGGAGGATTAGTTCCTGCATTTTACTGCTCCCAATGGTGGAAAGTAACTAAGTGCATTTACATGAGCACTGGACTTCAGTGTTTTCTTTTCATGCTACTTTATAAAGCGAAGGTTGCTCTTCTACTCCATTCATTTGAAAGCTTTAGTTAGAAGTTAGAAGCTCTTCATATGGTTTGTGATGCGTTGTTATAGATGAGACGACCCAAAGGTAAATATAAGTGGAGCTGAAACGATTAGTGGATGAATGGATGAGTCAGATGACAGAAAATTAATTTGTTTGATTTCATTATGTCAATTTTCATGAAAAAAATCCCAATGTGATAAATTGCTGCTTTAATTTTAATCATTAATTAATTTGAGGTTTGAATTGTGAGGGAGCCACTTAGCATTCTGGGTAATTATGAAGGACATTTCTCACTATTTTTGAAGTTTTACAAAAACAAACAATCAATCAATCAAGATTGACATATATTTGGGGCACCCTGTTTACCACGTGGGTCCCCTGCGCTCTATCTCACTGTTTCCTGTCTCTCTTCACTGTCCCATCTAATAAAGGCACTAAAATCCCCCCCCCCCCCAAAAAAAACAGCTCCACCCCAACCAACTTCCGCCATCTACAACAGTAAAATGCTGCACAAACATTAATGCATGAGTAATAATAATCATCTAGGACCATTTTTATTCATTTACTTCTACTTCAGCACATTTTCCTGATTATAAGTAACATGCTTCTCCCCACGTAAGATTTTCCATGTAGGACTTTAACTTGTGCTCGAGTATTTTTACACTTTTACTCAATGAAGTGATGACTGAAGACTCCCTGCACCACACGCAGCCTCTCATCTCTGGAAGCTTTCTTGCCATAATCACAAATATTTCTTATCAGAAGCCATGTGAATGCGCGCAGGCGGGCACACCCAACTGTGAAGGCACCCCACCCACCACCCACACCCCCCACCCCCGCGCGACAGGTTGCTCCCATGGAAGTCAAACACCTGCTTAGTCACTTTTGATAGAAGTGGGGATGAGATTGCACAATCTCAAACGTCTAAGTGTCCACACATTTATAACCATGTGCAACGTCATAAATCATGACTGATGGCACCAGTTGTAAACCTGCATGACATCGCAATGACGACAAGCTGCACCATCCATCATGAAACCTCCGCAGGTGGATTACAGCACTGAGGCACGCTGTTGACCTATCAGCTTAATGAGTCCAAACAGCGGATACACACCTTGGGCAAAGATACAAATAAAAGCAATGTGGTCACTGTCAGTGAGTCAGGTGAAGTGACAAGGAGACAATCAGAGAGGTAAACTTGACATGTCAAGTTAGTAACATGGGGGTGTTGTCAGAGCAAACAGGAAAAGACTTGAGACTTGTTATAATAAGAGACGCTTCATTCATTTCCCCGAGCTCCTCGTGCTCCTTCAGCAGTTTTCAGAATGAATGAAAGACGCACATTTGAATGTATTTTAACAGTAAGATCATCGTTACTGTCATATGGCACCTGACTCCTGTGGTGCCTTTATATTGTCCCGGGATTTAAAACAGCTCCTGTCCTGTGCAAAAACATTAATGGGATCATGGCACAAAAAAATCTCCACACGCAGCATGAACCGGATTTTAGGAGGAAAAAGAGCAGAAACGAGACAAGAGACAGTAATATAAGACTGGGAAACCTGACACACAGAGAGAGAGAGAGAGAGAGAGAGAGAGAGAGAGAGAGAGGAAGTTGTCCAAACTCACTTGCTGATCTTTACGGGACTGTATTCCTTTTTACTCGACATCTTGAGAGACCGTTCAGAACCGTCCGTGTAATCTGAGTCCGAGCGGTGTTTTCTTCCAGCTCCTCACTCTCCCCTCTCTCTCTCTATCTCTATCTCTCCTCTTCTACTCACTCCTTCCTGTCTCTTGTGGCGTCTCCCCTCAGTTAAGGAGCGTCCACCTGTCTCAGCTCCTCCCCGGCCAGCAGGTGTGTCGTCAGTGAAAGCAGTGGAGGAGCAGACCGGGCGGACCTGTTCCACACTCCCGCCGCTTCACAGACCTCGCTCTGACTTGATATTCTAGGAGCTTGGCATCCACGCATTCATTCTAGCCATGTTTAATAGATCTCCTTTGGTTGTTAAAGCATGAATAGGACGCAGGTTGTGACCCGTGAAAGATTACACTTTAAAATCCATAATATTGATTGAGTTCTCCTGTAGTTTGAGTTTTCTGACTCTACATACCTGCCTATAGAAACGGCCTCTGAACCTCTACAGCTGCTGCTGTTATCAGCTCCATGCTACACAGGGACATTATAAAGCACTCACTGTTTGCACATATACAATCTCAGAGGAATGCAGCAGAACAGGTGACTCCATGACTGAATTTCAGGATCATTATTAAAACGTCCTCTTTTTGTTTATTAAGACAGGTCAAGCAGGTGATTCATTCAGTTTGCCATGTGTCATATCTCCCTATTTATAAGTATAACTCACAGAAACTCAAAGGTCTGTCAGAGACTAAAAACACAGAAAGGAAGAACATGAAATCTATAATATATCTATAATGCAATATATCTAAGAGACCTGTCCTGACCACTGTGAAGGCATCACCATGCCCCCGAGCCACGGCCAGGTGTTAATCCTTGCTAACAGCATTGTGTTTAAACCTCCTGAATCTCAGCCTGAGGAAGAATCACCACTGAAGCAGTTATTGTTTACAAAACCAAAGCTGACATTCAAGCACTTTCTCAGGAATAGTGGGGTATTTCAGTTTTGTGACCTGTGAACAAGCAGGTGCTTTTGCATTATATTTTGTTATAATTTCTGTATCACATGTTCATTGTCAATTTGATCTTTTTTGGTCACTTTTTAGTAGCTATATTTAACCAAACAAGATTTTCGCCCTAGTGTAGCTTTGCTGTAATCCAGCTTCTTCCACTATAAACTAATTAGTAACTCGTAAAGTTATTCAAGGGTTAACCACAAGGTGTAACTTTTCACATTCGAGTTTTGGCAAATGCAGCCTGTGAAATCAGGATGTGTCTTATTAATTAGTGGCATTTTTTTCTCATCTGGGATTATTCCACCTCCAGAGCGACAGAGCAGGCATTTCTGATTATCAGTGGTTATCTGTCACACACCCTGTGAAATTACCTTTGTTGTGTTCTAGGAGTGAAGGTCTGGTGAGAGGAATGCTAACTCCACCTGCTGCCAAAAAAGAAAGCTGATAAGAAAGTGCATGTACAGTATCTGACATAGAGGGGTGTGTGTGTGTGTGTGTGTGTGTGTGAGTATGTGTTAAGACAAAACACAGGTATGTGGCGATCATAGTAAAGCAGGTGAAGGAGGTGGGAGCACCTCTGCAGGTAGAGCAGAACAATGCGATTTCTTTCCGCCTCAGTGGGTAGAAGTTGGTTCAGCATGCTGCTCCGGCTCATGCTTGCGGTGGGTGTGTCTGACGCACACCCAGAGCAGTTACTCTTCAAGCCAACACCTACATACCTGCAGGGAGAGAGGGAGGGGTCACATAGCAGGAACAAAAAAGGTTAAAGTAACCGAGAGCACTCACACTCTAACATCTGAGTGACAGCAAAACAACACAGTGATGATTGAATCTCACTCGGTCTCGACATTGGACCCCGGTGGTACTTTAACTGTTTTCACACTGTCGTTTGAAACATTGTTATTGTTAAAAAATATTGATTATTGCAGCTTCGTTAACGTGAAAGTAAAGTCACTCATAGTGATGATGCTACAAAGAGGTATTACCTGAATCTGCAGCTCCTCCTTACAATGAGTTTCAGCTCATTGTTTTGGTTTCCTGGTCCCCAACTTTATTGTTTGGGCTTCTGTTTGCAAAAACAATATATACATACATACATATAAATATATATACATGCATACAAATATAGATAAAAGAGCCTGATGTTTCCCTCAGGAGTTGGTAGAGACTGAAAACTGAGCTTTATCAATGTTATGTTCACAGCTCGTTTCCGCTGTTTTGCGAAATGACCACAGTTGATATTTACACTTCTTTACAAAGGCGCTGATAAGCAGTAACATTTGTTTTCTTCACATGGTTCAGATGTTCACGTTACTGTGTCCACCTCGCCCACCTGTTTAAACTCCACATTGTGCAATTCGCCTGAGATAAGCACATGATGCTGTCAACAGCAAGGTGAGGCTGTCTCATATCATCAGGATTAAAAAAAAAAAAAGAAAAGCCAATTCTCTTACTGATGAAACGAGGGACGCTCTTTAGTATTTACCCAGAGAGCGTTCCACAC